ATCAAGAGGATGACATTTTAAAAGAATTACAGGACTTGTACTTTTGGCCATGACTACATTTACCATCCCACCTTAAAAAAACTAAAAAACTGAAACAAAACAAAAAATAAAAAACTAAAAACCCCACCAAACAAAAACAGTAAGAAAACAACAGTGAAAATACATGAATCAATGTTTCTGGACTTTGGACAACAGGCAGTTCAGGACAGTGATCAGTGAGAGAGGAGAAACAAATGAAGTGAGCCCTCAGCTTAGTGTCTGGAAAGTTTGCAGAGCAGAGTGCAGGGAACGGGAACAAAAAGAGAGCCTGGTGGTCTGAGTTGAGAATATAGGATTGAGAATTTGGGGAGGCCAAGATTGTTAGAATTTGCAGGTCAGATTACTGGCAAGGAGAGATTTTGCACAGAGTGGAGAGTGCTGTGTACATGTGTACACACACACACACACACACACACAGCCAGGCTAACAACCACCAGAAAGGACTAGGCAGAACAATAACCAAAACTCACACATGGTTGTGACCAGAGGGAGAAGAAAAAAACTTGGGGAACAAAGGTATTGGAAAAAATAATGGCTGAAAATTTAAAAATTTGGTAAAGAGTATAAACCCAAAGTCCAAGAAATTCAACAAACCTCTATCAGAAAAGCATGCAGAAATCTATACCAAAAACACATCGTAATAAAACTGGTTAAAACAAGTGACAAGGGAAAAATCTTTAATGCAGCCAGAGGACATATTATGTACAGTGAACAAAAAATGACAGTAAGAATAAAACAAGCCAGAGACAATAAAGAAACATTCTGGAAATACTAAAAAAAAAAAAAAAAAAAGAAAAAAAAAGAAAAAGTTAACTTAAATTTCTATATCTGGCAAAATATTTTTCAAAAAATGAAGGCCAAAAAAAAAAAAAGACATTTTCAGACATACAGAAGATGAAAGAATTCACCACTCACAGCTCTGTATTAGTATAAATGATAACTACTTGAGGAAGGAGGTAAATTATAACAGGGGGAAACTTGGGTCTACACAAAGAAAAGAAGAGCACTAGATATGGTAAATATAATGTTCTGATTTTTAAATCTCATTAAAAATAGTTGAGGCTTAAAGCAAAAATAATGACAATGTTATTATTGTGTACATATGGGGAAGTAAGATGTATGACAAGATCACAGAGGCCATACATGGTGAGGCTCTTTTTTTGAACACAGTAATATGAGTTTAGACATAACTAGTTTATAGAATCTTTGTCCTGAAGACTCCTACTGCCCACTCCCACCCTGGTTCTCTTTTAGCCACATTCCCTAAGCTTTAAATTCTAAATTCACACCAGGTGACAGAGTGTTATATAGTCTGTTTATATTTATCTTATCATGATCGAATAGTCAAACACAACAGAAGCAGTGTTTTGAGATTTCAGCTCTTGGTTTCATTTATACATTCTAAAATTAGTAGAGGTGCTTTGTAGTAGATTTGAATCAGTCTATTATTTTTTAATTAAGAGAATATGATCTCCTATCTTAGGTTCTTTCTAAGCCTATTTACCAACAAAAAATGTTTCTCTTTAATATTTTATAACTGTAATTTTATTTTATTATCTAAATAGTTTAAAAAGGTTCCTTTATTAAACTTAAGTCAGACATAGTTTGACAATGAACAATGACAATCTGTTTCCTTACTACAATATGTTTTATAGTGAACATCCAGTAGTGTCTATAGGATTGTACACTTATAAATTTGATTAAGATCAATGTATAAAATTTGCTTTGAAATGTGTAGAATTTGCAATAGGGCACTTTATATGAATGAAAAGTAAATATATATTTTAGATATTTGAGTTTGTGCATTAAAATGCACTTTTGTTAATAATGAGTCAAGGAATTAGTGGCTTCCAAAGTACTAGCATACTCCAAAACTATATTTAGGAAACGGTAAAATTAAAAATGTGTATATTAAGATTTCTGTAAAAAATATCAATAGTACACAGTATCTTGCTTATTCTCAAAAATATGTTTACCACTGTCAAATTCTATTTATGGAATTCTATATTAAAAAATAATTTCAACCTTTATAAATTTAACTTAAAATATATAATAAAAAGGAAAGGAAAACCTTTTCAAAAAAGGTTATTCTAGTAAAAGGATTACAAATTTAGTAACTTGAGATGCTATTCTCGAACGTATGCTACTACTAGTTCAAATGTGCAAGCTCCAACTTAACAAATGTTTAAAATATTTGAGTTTTAAAAGCTGTGCCAAAATAAACCACATCTTTTCTAGAGATGACATATTTAGCTAAGCACGAGCAATATAAATCTTTCAACCATTCCACATATTTGTTTAAAAACCTCAGAAACCATATGCACTTCTAATAAAACATGAACAAAATACCAAAATCATTGGAGCCTAACAGTTGACTTGTAAACCATTTTTTAAAAAAGGCAAATGTATTTTTTTGTGTGTGTCTGTGTGTATATACCTATGTCTATAGATATATAGATGTGGTAAATATATGTACATAGATACATACATGTATATAGATATGAACAGTTTAATTGTAAATAATAGTGATCAACAACACAATACTGTCTTATGAAAAGTCGGGTTCCATACAAACCATATGAGAGAAGTCAAAATGTGTAAGCCATGCTATCTTATCATTATAATGTTTCATTAATAATGAATATTTTAAAATAGAAACTTTAAAAATTATAATCTTCAAAAATACCACACATGAAAATGTGTTCTATGCAACTGTGTTCAATATTAAAACTATAAAATACTCTAGCCTTTTTTGTGGGGGGAAAAAAACCTATTTCTATCAATAAGTGATCTAATAAGATTCTTCAGTTTATTTGGATAAGGAAATACAGAAAGGATCAAGTTTGTCATTGAAAAAGAGAAAATCTTTTAAATAATTTTAACTTATAGCTTATTTATAAAAGTAAAATTAAATTTTCTCATATATAATTAACTAATAACTTTGCTGTAATTGCTTATACCTTGCTTATAACCAATAACCATGCTTATTACTTGCCTATAACTGGGTTTATCTCTAATAGTCGCTCTGGGAGGTAGAGTGAGCCTTAAAGTTTAGACTTCCATTTGATAAAACTACAGTCAGGTTTTAGCATCACGCCAAATTAAAAATAGTACAAAGCAACTCAAGGCTATTTTTCATTAACAATGAATTGTCACAATATACCTAATTAGTGAAGGCTAAGACAAAGTATACTTGTTACTATGACCCTATAGAGAGGTGGCATTAATGTGATGCTCTTTACACATGCCGTTCACATTATCGTATTTCATTGAAAGAAATGCATATAAACTTGACTTTTAGAGAATTTATACGAACACGTGTAAAAGAAAACATGTAATAAAAACAGAAATAGTACGAGTCAAACTATTTATTAAAAAAAATATATATTTTTAATAGAAAGGTTTGGAGACCTATGGTTGCACGGAGTTTAGTCATGAGACGTCAGTTTTAAGTCCTAGCCAGTCCTTGGCAAGTTCCTAGCCACTCTTGAGTCTGTTTTCCCATCAATAAAATGTATGTAATAATAACAATAATATTAAAATCATGATCATTGTTATGCAGCTGATATATATATACACACATATAATGTATTATTATTGTTATTATATGGTTGTTGATAGGATCAAATATACAAATGTGAAAGGTCTTTTTAAGTCATCAAGTGCTACGCACAGTTGTATTATCTTTTTTGCCTTTCTTCTGAACTACTTATTTTTACAAGGATAAGTGAATTCTTGTGTTACTGTAGGAATCAAACTTGATGTTTAAAATGACATCCCTGGGCAGTGTGGAATACTTCTGAAGTTGCTTTATTATTGAATACATAGGGAAATGATCTTCAATGAGCAAGGTTACTCCCTCATACACACAAAAAAGCAATATGAAACATTGTTGGTGGATATTTTTAAGTGCAAGAAATCAATTAGTGATACTATCTGGCTATAATACATAGCATTCGTAATTTTATAGACAATTCATTTTCAAGGGGATGGATATTTTGAGGATTATATATACTGAACAATAGATGTTACAATCTGGAAATTTAACTTTATAATATCAAATTCTATAAAAGTTCTGGATATTGATTACAGGAATTAGTTGCTCTAAATTGATCATTTAGGCATAGAAATAAATGTTTGGAAATTGTAAAAAAAACTTTGTGTTTCATAATATCTCCAGCAAAATAACTCAAGAAAGGTTTGTCTATTCTTCAGGACTAAAGTGAAAATTCAAGTCCACTTGGGATTTATTTATTCAGGAATGGACTATTTTGTGGCAAGAATTGTTTCTCTTTACTTACCTTCATGACTTGAAAGGCGTTATTCCTTCACACATGAAGCTGTTACAGGTTTCAATTAGAGCCCAGAAATAAGACTCCATGCATGACTAAATTATTTCCAGTTTCTCTATTTCTATAGTCACTTGCCTATGAGAGGCTATAATTCTCTTTAGAACTAAAGAGTAAATCCAGTTAGCTTACTTTTTAACCCCTGTTATTCTTTATTTTCTAATTTCATAGCTTAAAAAAAATAATTAAAAGCAGGTAACATGAGTAAATTCTAAATTTAAATTCAATGGGATGATTCTAACTCTCAGTTTATGTAATAGATTTAATAAGGAAGAAATTGAGTTTGTTAGCATTATGATTCTTTTGTCACTCTGTGACAAAGCACCTTACATTTTCCTGCAGAGTTAAAAAAAAATCAAGCGGGTAATTTCCAAAGGTGTATAAAAGAATAGTGCAATAAATTATTCTGTACTTGTCCTGAAAATAGGAAATGATAATTTAGCTCAATCTTAAAGATGAATTAAAAAATTGTATAGACTAAGAAAAATTTTTATTTGCCTATTTTCATGAATTTAATCTTTGTTTTTTTTATCCTGTTCTAGGCACAGTCATTTTCTAATGGCCTCTCATCTATTCAATCTAAAAGAAAGAAGATATTTTTCCCATAGCCAAATACATAAATCTTAGTTTTATTAATAATTTCACATGATTAGATGTGACTGCTATGCTGTAATGATTTTAAGTTATCTCTTAAAAGAAAAAGTAGGTAACCTGAATCAAATTGTAGGTTTTTTCCCCAAGTCCATATATTTTTACATTATAATTTTATTGTATATTACATATTGGATTCTCCTCCTCCATGACAAAAATTCAAATGATAATCTAAATAAAAATTGAAAAGGATACTGAATATGCTTGATGGCTTCTTGCCTTCTAGGAAGATGTCATGCTGGCACGTGCAAATTTTCAAGTCAAAATTATCTTAGTCTATTAGACCGACTTGGCAATTCCTACAGCTTAAATACAGTTTAGATAATTATTCAGACCAAACATTAAAAAATGTTGATAATATGAATTAACAAGTACATATTAACAATATCTTCTTTTTATTGAAAAGTCTGTATTATTTGTAATGAAACAAACGTCATGCCTTAATTAATGTAATTTTAATGTACCAAACTCTTATTAGAACAAATCATACATTTAATTCTTGGTATGTACACTTAATAGTCTTTAAAACCAACAAAGATTACATGCATGCATTAAAGGAAGACTATACACTCTTATATCTGAGCTTCTCTCATCAGGTAAGAAATAAAACTCTATATTGAAAAATGCATGTATTTGAAGTTTTGACCTATAACACAGTGGATTAAGGTTTAGACAGTATTTACTTTGCTGCATTTTGATTCAGAAAGGGCCATATGTGAAGATACGATCCTGACCATCTTCACAATGTTTCTGTAATAGTATCTTAGTAAAAGTTATATAAAATACAGTGAGATATAAAACAGTTACAAAATAAACTACAACTTTATAGGTACGCTAAAAGTCTGTAGTTAATACATTTGGATAAATAACTCAAGTCAGCAGCAAAGTGGTTAAACATTTGTGATTTGATTTTATCTCAGCTTGGAATGTGGTTGGAGTGTCCCACTTCTAACAACTGTTTGCTAAGTTAAGGCTTTAGTGTTTACACAGTGTTGAATGAAGCAGCCTGGTCACCAGATGTGATTGCTTCCCAGACTGTCGTTTTTTTCAGTCAGATCACTGTCCTAATGGTCCCCGTTCCAACCTTCTTCCTCAAGACGTCCACCAGCCTTTCCAATCTAAGTTGGGGGAAGAGTGGGTGGGAAGGAAAAAAACATATATATAAAAAGTGCAATTATTGTCAGGAATGTTTTGGCTGAGAAAGGACAGTATTTGCTTATGACCAAGTAGCCCTGGTAGTCATGTTAAGAAACAAAGCATTACTGTAAGCAGGAGACTTGTACAGAGTGTCAAGAATTTGAGGTTTAAAAAACAGCAACAACACAAACTTTAACCCACAATTTCATATTATGTCAGCATTAGATGCTACATGAAAAATAGAAGATTACTCATTTTGATACATTTACCTACTTTCATTAAGGTTGTGAATCATTCACTTACTATGCAATGACAGCACAGCATATTCAATGTAGAGCAGTTTCAAACTGATTTTTACCTAAGAAGCACATATTTCAATACAGAAATACTAGCAATCTTACACCGTTACTTAGCTAAATAAGTGACACATTGGCATACTGTACAATTCTTATGTATTAGATTTATTTTTCATAGAATCAGTCGATAAAAATAAAGCCAGGAATTAGGGAGCTGGGGCATGGAAGAACTTCACATCTCAGTGGCATAAAAATATTTTAAATATATAAAAATGATTTGATGCTAATAAAGGTAGACTTTCTGTACTACATTTAAAAAGAAGTTTCTGTTCTTGCGTGGTATAAATAGTCTAGGAATGACTATATATACTTTTTAGTCAAAGAGAAGTGATTTTTAGTTGATTAAAAACTTACCAATTACACTGAAAATAGCGTGAAAAGTTCAGAAGTCCATTCTGTGGTGTTCTTAGGCTACTCTATGGAAGGGAGACCACATTCATGTGGATCAGTGAGAGTTTTGCTTTACAAAAGATGATGGCATCAGGCCATTAATTGCATTTTTTCCTTTTATTTTCCTTACTGAAAGTATAAAACCTTAACCAAAAACTTGCTTGGTGTGATACACAGAGAAATCTTCTTTGTAAGTGAAGATCATGCCCAACAGTTTTCATATACACAGTCTTTCTTCTTGAAAGACTGAACGACACAGGCTAGTCTGCTCCAGCTTGCCTCATTTATGTGAATCCAGGCACGAGGGTCCTTTGCAAATAAACTTAGCACAGAGCTAGATGCTAAGCAATGAGGGTATTCTTAGTGTCATACACACTGGTTTAGGTGAACTATTCAGCTGCATGCAACCCTGAAAACTAGCTCAAATTTATTGGGTGATTCTGCATATATTGAGCTCTGTTAGAAAACAGGAATATAAAATGAATTAATTCAGTGTATCAAAAATCTTTGCTTTGCAAAATATAGCAATGATCTTAGAGTAAAAATGCAAATCTTGTCTACATCTGTTATTACAAATTTCTCAATGTAAGTTATACTTATAGAAGGAAATTTAACTTTGGGTGGTGAACACATGATGCAATATACAGATGACGTATTATTGAATTTTCCACTTGAAACCAAATAATTTTATTAACCAATGTCACACAAATAAATTTAATATAAAAAAGAAGGGGAATAAAAGTATTACACATTCATTAAAACAGCTTGAGCCTAGTGGTGCAAACACTTGAACTAGAAGATTCACTGCATGATTCACTATATTCACAGACTGGTCTATATAAGTCGGACTTACACCTAGTGATAAAAACTAGTGCCGTCTTATACATTCTGAATATTACGATTCTTGGGATTATATAAATCCCTTAATTTAGAGAAAATTTCACTAACTTAAATTGTAGAGGAGGAGAAAGAAAAAATGTCGGTATGAAATTTTAAGTGTATTGTTAAAATATGACAGTAGCTTGAATTAACTGCTAACCAATGGCTGCCAGTAGAAATCCTGACGAGCCATTAAAAGCATATCTCCACATATACTGTAAAAGGTCAGAAAATATTACTTTTGAGTTGGTTGAATACTTACCTCCCCACAATATGTGCACTATTAAAACTTCCTTATAATGTAAAAGTAAGCTCTATTCTGCATAGTTATTATCACCACAAATTCTCAATGGAAACCCAAACTACTGAGATAAATCGGTGTCGTGCTTCTTTTGGTTCCTCCTTTACAGACAGGCTCATCTTACTTTTGTTTCCTTTTTATATACTAGGATGTCTTTCCATTTAGAACTAGTACATCTTGCTAAGGGAAGAGGTTAGGAGGAAATACTTAAATATCATGTTTTGCAATGTCTTTTCTATATTTCAACAATTACTAGATCAACCACATTCTCGGTTTATCCAGGATGAATGATTTATGAAAATCTGATCTCAGAAATGAGAAAAATGTCAATTACTTAGTTTTGTAAAAGCTTACTGACTTCTGAAACACAATGAAGCACCTATTCCTTCCTGTAAGGAATGGAATACACCTGCCAAACCTGGACTGTGCCAACAGGAAGGTAGGTGTGTACGTCTGTTGAAGCACCTTGCAGGATTTGCCTGCAGGCTATTCTTTACTGTCCAAATCAATAATATCTTTTTAAAAATTATGTAGTTTACTAAAATAGGCTCCAACTGTTTTACATGTTACTCAACAATAGCTTCCCAAGGGCTTCATGAAGAAAAGGGTCAGAGCTAGGATTAGAATTTCTTCGTTTTAAACATGAAGAAACTGAAGTACAGACAAGTAAACCCTTATGCAAGGTCTTGTGGTAAAACAGTGAGAAATCTGGGCCAGGTTTCCTTGTTCATGAGTTCAAAGCTACTTCCACTAGGGTTTGGATGACTAGAGAACTAGTTTTCAGATTATAGATTAATGGATTGATTATTTGTCTTAATAGCTTCATTAAAATTTTTCTGCAAGTTCTTACTTAAGTCAAATTGAGAAAGTATTTGCTGGTATATTTCATCTGCTATTTTAGTAACAGATCATAAAAAAGTAAATTGAGGACACTGCATATAATAATTAGGAAATAGTTACAATTTATTATTTGCTATAACTTCTATATAAACTTGAAAAATACATTTACAGCTATATTTTATATAGAAATCCCATTTTAAAATTAACATTATTTTTATACTTTTGATGTATCAGTATATATATGTAGTACAATAAACTACATCGTTTTTCATCAAGTAGGTGAACTATAACTTATTTACCAATTTCCCTAATTGGTCTACATCTATTTTTCACTCTTAATGAATACTGAGATATATTTCAGAAGGCAAGTAATGCTTAATGAATACTATGCACCAGGAACTATGAGATGTGATTATGCACATATTTAATTTTCATTATAACTCCATGGAGTATATGTTATCATCAAATGACAAAGCATATTGCGGGTAATTTAATCAGAGCCACACTGCTGGTGAATTCTGGAGCTAGGATGTAATGCTACGTCTAATTACCACATCCCTGATCTCTCTGATGTGCTATACCACTTCTAAAAGTACTGTGACTATTAAGGCTTATTTCTGGACTTTTGTGGGCTTGAATTACTTTTATTGACTAGAAAACTTTTTTGCAAAGTGACAGAAAGGAGTAAAAACAGAACAAATTCCTCATCATCAACTGAATTGAACCAAAGTAAAAATCTCACTATAGATTCCATGTTGGAGAGTATTTTTTGTATTTGTCAATGTGAGAGTAGCATTGTTATTGGCTACATACTTCTGTTCCCCAGAAAAAACATTCTTATTATTTAGGCAATGATGTTACCCCATCAAGCATAGCTAGCTTTTAAATTTTTTTTTTTTCAAGGAGAAAAAACCAGGGAAATTCAAGAGGATGGATAACAATCATCCTTCTAGCCGAGGAGACAGGAATTTCATGAAAAATGCTGCCCTCATTGTCTGCCATTAGTATCAAAGATCTCGCCCTCTTTCAACAATGGCAGCAGAGTGAAAAGAAGACTTTAAATGTTTTTGCTGTTGTTGTTTTTTTTTTTGCTTTGTGGCTGTTCTTCCTCTTCTGGTCTTTTTAATGTTGAGCTTTTCATAATCTTTTCTTTACACTTTTCATGCTTTCCTCAAGAGGTGTTATCTGCTCCCTTGATTCTACTTAAATGCTTATGACCTCCAAATACAGAACCCGTATCCAAAAGCACTCTTCTGAGTTTCAGACTTGCATATCCAACTGCCTCCTTCGTGTTTCAGTATTTATCTTGATTAATGTTGCCATTCATTAATTCCCTTAACCTTTAAGTTAAAAAAATTTAGAAAAACTTGATACATTATATTATCCTTTTTTTCCTACACTTCAGCTTGGACCTGTGAAAACTTTCTGATGAAATCACTAATATAGACAATGGGGAGCGATAAAAGGATTTTAATTCATCTAGTAACATTACTTGCATTTTAAAAAGATCACACTGGCAAGAATGTAGGAATGGGATGGTGGCAGGTTAGCTTACAGGTAGGAGGTCCAGATAGCTCCTTATTAAAATAATCCTAGTAAGCACCACAGTGTGAATGTACTTAAGAACACAAAATTATACACTTAAAAATAGTTAAAATAGTAAATTTTATGTTATATAGATTTACCACAATAAAAAAGTAATCCTGGTGAGACTTGAACCAGAGCTACAGCAGTGCAGATGGAAAGAAGGTGCTGAATTTGAAATATATCTAGGATATGGAAATGAAAGGATTTAGTGACCTTTGAGGGTATGATGGGGTGAGATGGGCTGGTCGAGAAGGATGACTTCCAGGTGTCTGGTTTTGGATAGGTAGTGATATACTAACCAAGACAGTGGAGAGGAAAAGCAGCAGATATTTGTTGGGGAGTATCTGTGTGTGGATGGTGAGTTCAATTTGGTACATATAAATTTGAGGTGTGGATGGGACAATAGTGGGGATGTTAAGCAGGCACTTATATATACGAATCTGTTAAAGAGAGAATTCTAGGTTTATGATACAGATTTCAGTGCAATCAATAAGCATAATTCCTACATACCAGGTGTTGTTCTAGGCATTGATTATTCAAAAGATAGGACATGGCCCCCGCTCATAAGGAGCAGTCAGGTGGGGAAGTAGATCCTTATATGGATAACTCCAATAAGTTATTGGTAGAT